ACCCAGACATTCTCCAGAGACTTCACCATTTTGTGAAGGACAAGAATAACTTCACATTTTGTGCACCGTCTGTTTTGCAAAGTCTGGACAACCGAAGAGCACATTCGTTACCAAAGAACATGATCTGCGATGTGTGTATTTTTACTGAACATCAACCAACGTTTGTGTTGACATTCCGGACTGGGGAAGGGGTGAAGGACGAGGTCGGGGCACTCAATGCTAAGCTCAGTAGGTACATTACTACTGAAATCAGACGAGTAACTTCAAGAAATTTCAGCACCGTCTATGGGGTTGTGGATAAGCAGCACTGTCTGTCAGACCAACTGTTTGATGCAAGAGTTGAAGTCTTGATAAACTTTGTCAACATAATGGCTGCCCCATCTTCACTTCGTATGAACTATGCAACATATAGAAGTAGTGCACACTGTTTCCTAAAGATGGTTCCTGAACAGACTTCTGGTATGTACAAACATCACCTATTACAGAATATTACGAAATATAATTTCAAGATTGATTCCTGTCAGTATCATTAAAATCAAATCTTAGTGCTTGCAACCGCTACACCAAGAACAACCTTTTGCGAACTTTGATCGATCAATGAAATTAATAATAGGCAGTCGACATTAGCCCCTCAGAAATCAATTTTCTCGGGCTTTGAGGCAAAAAATGAGTCTTCCATTACAGACTGCACTTTGGAACGTATTTGAACAAAAACTTCTGAAATGTCTGATAGATGGCCGAGAGATATATGGCAGTACTTCCCGCGGAAAGACTTCCATTACAAACGTTTATCGCACTGAAGCGAGAAAAAAACGATGTCTAGCTTTCACAATCAGTTGTACAACCCATAACTGTTGTATTGAAGATGTCATTTTTCCCTTTTTCTCAGTCATTATCAAAATAAATTCAATATGTAGATATTATGCATCTTACGATTCAATACGATTTGGAACATATTTTGATTTATGATCCTCCTTTGACTTTTGACTTTCTCATATCCCTGTTAATATAGATTTATATGGATTTATATACTAACTGCATTTTCGACAACCTTTCAATTTATAAAGCTAAAACTTTACCATGGTCATTCCAGCTATGAGCATTTAATTAATGTTCCTAGATATCCTCAACGCTTCCTGTGAAATTATGCATGTAACCTAAAGTAGTTTTCTGTTTGTTGTTCAACACTACACTCAGCAATATTCCAGATGTATAACGGTGGTTTGTAAATAATCGAGTCCAGACAATCCGTTTATTGACATTATTTACATTGATCTACAAAATTGGGATATGTTGACATAATTCAACTCAATCACCGAACCTGATGTTACAACCTTGTCAACAACTCCAAAACATACAGCTATTGCCCTTGGCAACCATATTGCAAATCCCATTTCGCCCATTGATTTACATTGATTATTATGACGTTATAGTCAGTAAGTATGTGGCATGTGGAGAAATGGGCATTATGTATGTTTAGTCTACTAGGACGTATCAAGAAATATTCATGTTTTGTTTGCATACTCTTGTTAATCCTTTCTTGTGACTTTTACATGAGTAAACTTCCGAGTCTACATTTTCTTTGCTGGTTGTGCACGGAAATGGCCTCTAAAAGTGTAAAAACTATAATCGATTCCAAGTGTCACTCTTGTCAAGTGGGAGACAAAGCTGATGCTTTTGAAATATTTTGATTCTATAATTATCTCCCCTTGGTCACGTGGCTAATGGGCGTCAATCAATCGAATGATCTCCTAAAATTCACATATAAACTGATACCTGTGGGGTTTCTTGTACGTTGTCACCATTGCACATTGTTGCTGGTTATTAAGGAACAGCAGCGTGTTACTGAGAGCATGTTATAATTTCAATTTGTAACTATTGTAGATCAAATAGAAATACATATAGTGAACAATGCCTTCTCATCTACAGACTGGACAGCAGATTACATTGACGAAGGAAAAGATATCTTCATTGAGAGAAATGGTTACACCCCATGCAAAGACAGATTGAAAACGCACAGGAGTGTGGTGATTGTCTCCCCTCCAGGTGAAGGTAAAACAACACTAGGACGAGCCCTCCTCAGGCACTTCAGAGATGTTCAACAAGAGGATGGAACCTTGTACAAGCCTATCATTCTACAAACACCAGAAGAATGGCAGAAGCAAGTGGACAAAACCAGTCACCAGATTATTTTCATCGATGACATGTTTGGTAAGTGTGTTCTTTCCCAATCGAAACTCAAACAGTGGAGGGACATAATGCCAGAGATTATCCATTCATTAGTGGGTGGGTTGAAGTTTCTTGTTATGACAATGAGGTACAACATTTATTCTGACCTCTCAGCAACTTGTCCTCTAAAACTGTTTCAACCTGACAACGTTGTTGATCTCTGGTTAAAGAGACCATTGTTGTCCAAAGATAAAGAATCACTTGTTAGAATTCACTCTCAGCATCATGACGTCAGTGTGACCGAGGACTACATAAAAACAGTGGCTACTGTTGACAAAGTTCCCGGATTTCCTCTGCTCTGCACAACTCTGATACAGTCTGTCACAATAGGAGAAAGAACTTTTAGTGACATGGATGATGTCCACATTGAAATACTGGCAACAGAAATGCAGAATCTGAAAGATTATGACTTGACCACATTTGCTCTCCTTGTTACTGTTGTGCTTAATGGTGGTTCCATTAACAAAGAGAAAGTTCCCCCATGTTTGACACAAGTTTGTCAGTACCTCAAGTGTGCACACTGGGAGTTCATGAGTCTCCTTCATCATAGCAAGGCATGTTTTGAAATTTACCTGGCAGACAATGGGGAAACAATAACAATTTCCCACCCGAATGTGCAGCAGGCTGTTGCAAGAGTGTTTTCAATGGCTCATCCTATGGAAATGATTAAGCATGCTAGTGCCAAACAGTTATCAGATATATTCACTGTGACAACAGAGGACATATCCCAGATATCTGCAGACTGGAAAATCAGACTCAACAGGGTTGAAGAATGGAAGGAATTAGGAAAAAGGTTCATTGTTCTGATACAGAATGGAGATCTTGCTGATGTTTGTAGCCACCAAGCGTTCAACATCAAGGCCTTCATTGAAACATTCTTTAAGCTTCAAACGAACAAGAAAATGTCCAAGTTATTACTGACTCAAGACACTGAACATGGATTACCAATGTTATACTGGAGTGTTTTCACACAAAACTCCTTTTTCAGTGAGATTATTATCGAGAAGATGAAAATATTTACAAAAACAAGAATGGAAAATATCATGTCAATGTTTGGAAAAGCCATCAACAGGACCAAGGAGAAAGAGATGTTAGAATCAAGTGCAATAGCCTCATTGTTGGCAGGCAACATGGATGCTTTGGAAAACATTCTCAAAACATTGCCCGAAGACAGTAAGCAAAACGTCTTAAAGATGAATTTAGGCAGACAAACATTTCCCACCACAGATAAACAGCAAGGTAAGCAATTACCTCGTGGTTTTAATTCAATGTCAGCATTTGCTGTTCGTGGAGGGCGTTCTGAAGCTCTTGTGGTGTTGAGAAAACATGTTGAAGATATTGCTGATCTGGAAATGGACCAACATATTGAAAGGGCAATTTTAGAGGGTAATCTAAATATGCTTCAAAATCTTTTGAAAACCATATCCAATATGGGTCTAGAAGAAATAGTGGAATCAATGACTAGGACAGATGATGGCAAGGAGCACACATTTCTCTGTTTGGCTGTTCAAATAGGAAACATTGACATAGTGAGGGAGCTTGTAATGTATGATGGTAATACACATGAGATTGAATGTTGTAAACCACTGCTTGACATATGCCTGGATCAAAATAACCTCCAAGTTGCACAGCTTCTACTCAAGCATGACTCCACAACAGGTGTGACTGATCAAAGCATGCTGATGCCCCAGCTGTGTGAAAAGAACAAAACAGCAGCAGTGAAGCTACTCCTTCAACATGGATGTGACGTCAATACAAGAAGCACAGGAGGAGTTACCTTGTTGCAGATAGCTTGTTTGAGGAAATATAGCGAGCTTACAAAGACCCTCTTAGATTATAATGCTGATGTGATGCAGGTAAATTCAGATGGAAACACTGTTCTCCATCAATCAGTGTGTCACAGTTCAGAAGATGCTGTTGCAATACTTGCAAAATATTATCAAAGAAACCATCAGTTCCTAAACTGCAGAAACAAAGATGGCAATACAGCCCTTATGATAGCCATCAAGGGAAAGGAAGTTACGATTGCAAATATTCTGCTTGAGTATGATGTAGTGGTAAATACTGTCAACAATAACGGAGACACTCCTCTTCACTATGCCTGCGGCATACCTAGTATGGATATAGTGTCTGTTCTCCTGAGCAGGAATGCAGATACAAATATTTCAAACAAGCAAAGAGTGACACCACTGCATGTTGCATGTGACAATGGAGAGTTGAAAAGGATTCAGCATGAGGAGAGTTCGCTTGGACAAAGAACACCAAGGTCACACCATGCAAGCAGTATCAGTGATGAGATTATCAATGTACTTCTAGCAAAAGGTGACACTGTCAATGTGCAGACTGTGATGGGTGATACAGCTCTTCATTATGCGTGCAGACTAAGCAGACACCATGCAGTGGGTGCTCTTGTGAGAGCAGATGCAGACATTAAGGTGCAAAACAAGGATGGTGAAATACCTTTACATCTAGCCTGCAAGATACCATACAGCCCACTGATCAGTTTACTTGTTACACGCCCCTGTGTTGATATGAAGAATACATCTGGAAATACCCCTCTTCATTTAGCCTGCTTACATGATAATACAGGCGCAGTTGAAACTCTGCTGAATATGGAAGCAGATCTGAATGTCCACAACAATGAACACCATACACCATTATGCATTGCACTCTGGAGGAAAAGCCATGGAGCATTGGAGATCATATTGAACAAATACAGAACTACCAACCTCAAGTATGTCATGTGCTCCACAGATAATAGGTGTGCTGCAGCCTGGCTTGCTTATTCTAAGGCTGATCTCTCTGATTACAGTGACTTTACTCTTGTCAAGGAACCAATATTACACCACCTATGTAGACGAAATAATTGGGAGGATATGGAACTTCTTCTTACTCAAGACATTTCCCTGGAGATGATCAATCAATGTCTACATCTAGCTTGCAAACTCGGAAATGTAAGCATCATTAGGTCCCTGTTGCAACATAACGCTGATCCAGGTTCGAGAAATGACCATAACAACACTGTACTACATGTGGCTGTTGCGTCTAATTCAGGAGAGGCTGTTAACGCCCTGATTAAAGGGCATGCTGTCATAAAATACATCAATGGCCAAAACAACAGTGGAGATACTGTCCTACACATAGCGTGTAGACATACAAATACAGACATCATGGAAACGCTATTACAGGCTGGCGCTGATGCTAACATCAGAAACTATTCTGATGAAGCTGCCATACATCTGACTTGCAAACAGAAAGATTCAAACCCTGTGGAAATCCTTTTAGATAAAGGATGTGATGCAAATTCTCTTTCAAAGGGATTATCTCCTCTTCATATTGCATGTGAGTATTCCAATCTGGCCGTGGTTCGGGTGTTGGTGAAACACAAAGCTAACGTTAATGCAGAGGCAAATTTGACAACGCCACTACATGTAGCTGAGAGGCAAAAGAAAGGAGATATTGTTTGCTATCTCATTGAAAACGGTGCCAACAAGTTTGCCAAAGATGTTGACCAACATACTCCTCTTGCATACAGATACTATGTCAATGGCCATGTACACATCACTCCCCATGTCGAGATGCTGTTGAACAAGAGATCAGATGTGAACTGTGCTTTGCCTGATGACAACACAGCATTAATACATGAAGTGAAGGAAAATCACTTAGATGTAGTCAAGGAGCTGATTAGGAGAGGTGCCATCATTGACAAGCATGACAAAGAGGGACGTTCTCCACTCCTAATAGCCTGTTATTTTGGGTTTGCTGATATTGTGAAGTATCTTGTTGACAGGGGAGCATCCATTGACAGTCCTGACGTGGAAGGTCGGACGCCACTTTACATTGCTTGCGACTATGGCCATGCTGATATTGCCAAGTTTCTGATTTCAAAGGGAGCCAATCCAAATTTAGCAAGTGAACATGAAAAGAAAAAGACCCCAAGCGACATCATCAAGAGAAGCGGAAATGTTGAAATAAAACGATTGTACAAAGTGATCAAGCTTCCGAAGGTTCAAGATTAAATGTGCCTGTGATCAAATATATTCTCTGTATTATACTCCTCTTCTTGACCATTATGACCATGGAAATGTAGACACGCCAAGTATTGTGTAGACTGACAAAACGATCCCATCATTGACTTGATAATGTATATACTTGGTCATTTCCACAATGCAGATAGATATGGTACTGAGGGTGAGCTTAAAATCAATGCCACAGAGGTACATGTTGAAACCCCGTTGGTACAGAACCTATCGGGAACCATGAGTAACCTGACAACCAGTGGTTGGCATTCTAAATGGACACCTAGGCCACTGAAGTCTGACACATCGAGAACAAAGTCTCTAGCTCCCGCACTGGTCAAACAAGGGGAACTATGAACAAATGTTGCTTTAGCATCTCTCAAAGGGTGCAATGAACGTCCTTCTTGTATTTTGCAAATCTTGGATTCGATCCATGACCAACGGTCCATGTCATGGATGAAGGATGCAACTATGCACAGCAAATTATTGATACTTACACAATATGGCCATGAGTGTCCCCAGAGTGATCATGTTGTCATCAATTTAGATGTACATACATAAAAACTGTTTCTGTGAAGATACATTATGCATTGGTTTAAATTGGCTTAAAGATGGACACCATGGTCTTATTACTTTTAAAATTAAAATGAATACAAATCCAAAATTCAGTGTACCAATATGTTGCCCAAATACCTTATTACTTGAAGTCATCTTTAAACTTTACAGTAGTTCAATAAGGTGAGCAATCTTTTTACTTTTATTTACCCTTGTCAATCCGAATAAATAAATATATATGATCACATACTTTTACGTTTGAGTACATTTCTACAACGTCTCACCTGACAGGTTCCCCTTGCTGCACAGCACCCCTGAGTTACGCATTTGTAGACTGTTGAATAGGAAGAATATACACGTTTTCGTGTATAAAGGACAAGTTAGGATAAGGACAATTTTTGTCTCACTTGAGATGTCAAAAGTTACAGATAACTGGGATGAGAATGAGTGCCTTCTTTATTTCTTACACATGCATTTTTTGGATGACTAACAAGATCAAATTTATACATATGGCTATAATGAGTGAAAAGGGCTGACTTTTCGAACTCAGGCGAAAAGCTAAATATGAACAAGCCTAATGGAGGTTTTACCATATGTTTATACTGATTTTATCCACATTTCCGAAGAAAATCAGCTTGGTTGAAAGACTTGATCAAGCTCAAATACAAGAAGACACTTCTCGAAAACAGAATAAAAGATCAGTCTTTTGAGTTGTTATAAGTCCAAAACTTGCAGGTGCTGAAAGGAACAAAGTCTTATTATAAATCATATGAACATTTGTCATAACTGAAATAATGCTGTCTAAAAGTTTGGCTCATTTCTTATCCGTGGGGCCTTGTCATGCCTTTTCCATTCACTTTGACTGTAATCTTTCTGCACAATATTATAAAGATCATGGTATTACAGGAGATATATAGGTTTTATGTACATATAACTCAATTAAGTGTAATCTTTTTGTACAATATTATAGAGAACATTTTTGCACATTTGTTGATATCTATATTGTTATTTTCTATTTGAGTGTAATCCTTCTGTTCAATATTATACAGGGCATGTGTGTACATTTGTAGATGGTTATATAGGAAATATATAAAACTTTCATGTATAAATTTCAATTTCAGTTAATCATTCTGCAATATATTATACAGGATGTTTACTATTTGTATATACTATTAGAATATGAACATTAATGTTTTCAATTATTAATTTCTTTTTAGTAAGATTTTCTTAACTATAATATACAGGGCCTCTGTACATATTTGTAGATATATGTACAAGGTTAGAAATAGAAACATTAGTGGCCTCACATAGAAAATCGTCCATATCAAAATTGTTCACATATTTGTTTCAATATAATCTCCTTAGACTTCATTACATTTGCTCAAGCGATGTTCCAGCGTTGCTATCCCTGCCCTATAGCAGTCTTGATGGTCCCCTAAAATGCATCGATGGTAATTTGTCGTTACTGGTTTAAACGCATGCATGTATAATTTGAGTTTAGGGAGGAAATAAGTAAGGAAGAGCAAGTGTTAGATCAGGAGAGTAAAGGGTATGGGGAAAGTAATTAGACGCAAGCTTTCCTTGACAGATTCTCTCAACTGACGTAGGTCTGTGTTCTAGTATTGCCAATCGACAGTCAGACCTCAGGGCAGAGACTAAATCATTATTGTCACCTTACAGTTGCATAACACCTAAGCAATTACTTTCCCAACTGACGCCATCCGCTTGTACTTCTGGGGTCAGGTCCACTGCTGCTCTGACGTTTTGACTTTGAAACTGATGGACCCAGGGCCCCGTTCCACAAAGCGATCTTAGCGCTGAGGTAATCGCAACTCCCATACTTTAACACTGGCTTACAATAGTCGTAGCGCTAAGATCGCTTTTTGGAACGGGACTTGGTCTTCACCTGGGTTACAATTCGCATCAACCATTTGTCAGGGTTCTGCTGCCAACTGGTCAAAAGGTCCCTGGATATTTATATATTCACTCGGGTATGAGGACATGTTTTCGATATGTATTTGATTTACCCTCGTAGCTTTAGAGGGAGTGTATAAAATCTTTTTGCAAAATATTTTAAAGAAATGTTGGCATTTGTAGATAGACATACATGATTTGATTGTTATCTTTCTTCAAAATATTGTATAGGGCATGTTTATATATTTGTAGATGGTTATTTGAGAACATTTAACAAAATATGTTTTAACGAACACAAAGCAATATTCCAGCTATTTGAAAGTAGCCTCGAGTCTGAACCAGACAGACCCATGATTGATATAGCATCGCCACCAAGCCTGACAAATTAATCAGTCAGGTCGCTTGGGGACACAAGCATAGGTTGCTGAGGACCACTACCATTCTGGAAAACCAAAACAGAATTATTTACTTGTTTTGCTAAAGAGCCTATCCAACTATCCAAATTAAGTAAAATCCAAATAGGCTTTTGTTTGAAAATTAACATTTTAAATACAGTCTTGTTTCTATTTTTGTTGAAAGTTAATAAATCTGCTTTTGTGTTCATTTCCCCTGGAATTCAAAGGAATACATGAATAAACGTCATCTCAAACTTTCGTCAGATATACTCTTTTGGTTGTCCAATATTCAAAGTGCAAGAGAATAACCAGTCCACTGACACAGATTCCATTTGACGTAACTGTCAATATAGCTGTGAAAGTTATATGAATGGCCCACTGAAAATCAGTGGTGACACCAGGTGTTCCGAAAACGGTAAGCATGTTCTGCACCCAATAGTTGTTAATTCCCCCCCAAAAAACCCAAAACAAACAAAAAACAAACCAACAACAAACAAACAAACAAACAAAAAAACTACAACAAAAAACAAAAACAAAAACAACCAAACACATGGGCACTTGAAAACTAATCTGATCATGGACCTTTCAATAAAACATTCATGTGATGTGCGAGGTTGTGAATGAGGTAACTGTAAAATGTGTAAACTGTTTGCTACTATAGAATACATAAAATAACACATTCATACAAATTGTCCATTGTCAGGTTCGTTGAATATGCTCATACAGGAAACAATCATTATTATTTGCTTTCAAGGTAACTTTGTTAATAAAATGAACTTATGATATATAATGAACTGTATTCGTTATGATGTCAGGATGGTTTCTTTGTAACTTGAACAAATAGATCAGGAAATAACTTGTTAAATGTGTCATCTTGTTGGGAATTATATTTGTTTACCTAAATATATAGTCTCCAGATTTAACTAATTCTAACCACATTTGTTTGTCATTATATTAGGAATTTTTTCTTTGTAACTTGAACAAATATATCAGTAAATAGCGAGTTAAATGTGTCATCTTGTTGGGAATTATATTTGTTTTCCTTAAATATATATTGTCTCCAGATTTAACAACATCTAACCATATTTGTATGTCATTATATTAGGAATAGTTTCTTTGTAACTAGAATAAATATATTAGTAAATAGCTAGTTGAATGTGTCATCTTGTTGGGAATTATATTTGTTTACCTTAAATATATATTGTCTCCAGATTTAACAAATTCTAGCCAAATTTCTTTGTCATTATATTAGGAATTGTCTCTTTATAACTAGAACAAATATATCAGTAAATAGCTAGTTAAATGTGTCATCTTGTTTGGAATTATATTTGTTTACCTTAAATATATATTGTCTCCAGATTTAACTAATTGTAACCATATTTGTATGCCATTATATTAGGAATAGTTTCTTTGTAACTAGAACAAATATATCAGTAAATAGCTAGTTAAATGTGTCATCTTGTTTGGAATTATATTTGTTTACCTTAAATATTAGTGTCTCTAGATTAAACAAATTCTAACCATATTTGTATGTCATTATATTAGGAATAGTTTCTTTGTAACTAGAACAAATATATCAGTAAATAGCTAGTTGAATGTGTCATCTTGTTGGGAATTATATTTGTTTACCTTAAATATATATTGTCTCCAGATTTAACTAATTCTAACCAGATTTGTATGTCATTATATTAGAAACAGTTTCTTTGTAACTAGAACAAATATATCAGTAAATAGCTAGTTAAATGTGTCATCTTGTTGGGAATTATATTTGTTTACCGTAAATATATATTGTCTCCAAATTTAACTAATTCTAACCACATTTGTTTGTCATTATATTAGGAATTGTTTCTTTGTAACTAGAATAAATATATTAGTAAATAGCTAGTTGAATGTGTCATCTTGTTGGGAATTATATTTGTTTACCTTGAATATATATTGTCTCCAGATTTAACAACATCTAACCATATTTGTATGTCATTATATTAGGAATGGTTTCTTTGTAACTTGAACAAATGTATTAGTAAATAGCTTGTTAAATGTGTCATTTTGTTGGGAATTATATAATTGTTTACCTAAATACATGGTCTCCAGATTTAACAGCATCTAACCAGATTTGTATGTCATTATATTAGGAATAGTTTCTTTGTAACTAGAACAAATATATCAGTAAATAGCTAGTGAAATGTGTCATCTTGTTGGGAATTATAGGTCTACCTTAAATGCATATTGTCTCCAGATTTAAGTAATTCTAACCAAATTTGTTTGTCATTATATTAGGAATAGTTTCTTTGTAACTAGAACAAATATATCAGTAAATAGCTAGTTGAATGTGTCATCTTGTTGGGAATTATATTTGTTTACCTTAAATATATATTGTCTCCAGATTTAACTAATTCTAACCATATTTGTATGTTATTATATTAGGTATAGTTTCTTTGTAACTAGAACAAATATATCAGTAAATAGCTAGTTAAATGTGTCATCTTGTTGGGAATTATATTTGTTTACCGTAAATATATATTGTCTCCAAATTTAACTAATTCTAACCACATTTGTTTGTCATTATATTAGGAATTGTTTCTTTGTAACTAGAATAAATATATTAGTAAATAGCTAGTTGAATGTGTCATCTTGTTGGGAATTATATTTGTTTACCTTGAATATATATTGTCTCCAGATTTAACAACATCTAACCATATTTGTATGTCATTATATTAGGAATGGTTTCTTTGTAACTTGAACAAATGTATTAGTAAATAGCTTGTTAAATGTGTCATTTTGTTGGGAATTATATAATTGTTTACCTAAATACATGGTCTCCAGATTTAACAGCATCTAACCAGATTTGTATGTCATTATATTAGGAATAGTTTCTTTGTAACTAGAACAAATATATCAGTAAATAGCTAGTGAAATGTGTCATCTTGTTGGGAATTATAGGTCTACCTTAAATGCATATTGTCTCCAGATTTAAGTAATTCTAACCAAATTTGTTTGTCATTATATTAGGAATAGTTTCTTTGTAACTAGAACAAATATATCAGTAAATAGCTAGTTGAATGTGTCATCTTGTTGGGAATTATATTTGTTTACCTTAAATATATATTGTCTCCAGATTTAACTAATTCTAACCATATTTGTATGTCATTATATTAGGTATAGTTTCTTTGTAACTAGAACAAATATATCAGTAAATAGCTAGTTAAATGTGTCATCTTGTTGGGAATTATATTTGTTTACCGTAAATATATATTGTCTCCAAATTTAACTAATTCTAACCACATTTGTTTGTCATTATATTAGGAATTGTTTCTTTGTAACTAGAATAAATATATTAGTAAATAGCTAGTTGAATGTGTCATCTTGTTGGGAATTATATTTGTTTACCTTGAATATATATTGTCTCCAGATTTAACAACATCTAACCATATTTGTATGTCATTATATTAGGAATGGTTTCTTTGTAACTTGAACAAATGTATTAGTAAATAGCTTGTTAAATGTGTCATTTTGTTGGGAATTATATAATTGTTTACCTAAATACATGGTCTCCAGATTTAACAGCATCTAACCAGATTTGTATGTCATTATATT